TGCACTGCAATATCTCTAAAGTTAACCTTTGATATTTCTATGTCACTCTATCAAAATCCACATCGACGCCCATTAGGGTACACCACAACTCCTTATGAAGGTTTATAAGGGGTAATGCAAATGTGTTATTCTCAGTTTCCTTTATGTCATGCTAGTTGTTGTTAGAGAAACTGTATAAGTTACATTAACTTTAGTGTGTAGGCATTTTGCTCTACAAAACGAGAGGTGAAGTCAGAATAAAAAAAAAAGTACTTTTGTGACAAGATTGGAGTTTCTATTCAGTTCACTAATGTCTTTGACAAGATGTTTTGTAACAATGAGGAAATATATGTGAATGATCAAAGTTGTGCCACCATGACCTCAACGGACAATTTAACTTATAAAGATTGTCAGTGTTTCTGAATAAGTATTTTAAGATTCGTCTGTCTACTTTGGTTTCTCTGTCATGATGATGGGGTAAAATGAGTAGTTCTCATAAAATGTGATTTACTGAGGCCTCCCATACAGGAAGCAAGAGCTCTATTCAGCCAAATGACAATACCTCTGAGAACTGTTTTTCTTAATCAGATATTGGAGCACATTTTCTTTAAAGTTACCTGTAACAAAAAGTCAAACAGAGCAAGTTTGCTCCATTCATAGTGATGAATTGTAGAGCAGCCAGAATCAGACTTTGGGCTGATGTTTTGTTGCCAACATCTCTGTTTAAGGGAGTTCTGGTACTCCCCCCATGTTAACTTCAAACTGGTCAAACCTGCAGCAAGGCCTGCTGGGTATAGAGATGCATCCCATGACACAACTGGACAGGACTGCCCATCTAAAGAGGGAGGAAAGAATAATTACATGCTTAGATTTTAGCAGCTGTTTCTATTATTAACCAGAAAAAGTCTATAAACACTTTTTACACTCATGTTACCAGAACTTATTCCCTGCAATGATGAAGACTGTCCACACACTGATTATCATATTTGCACCTCAAGACCAAACAATGAACTAACTCATAGACATGTAAAAATATTTCTAAATGTATTATGCTAAAAATAAAAAGAGACACAGACATTTCCCACAGATGGAAAAAATGGTTATGCAAGAAAATGAGGAAAGAGGACAGAGGTATCCTGTCACTAGCTGAATATGGCCCCAAAATCTGTTCAAACCCTTGTGCTGACACTTTGTGAAGTCATCATGTAAAATACATTATTTAAGCTATTTATGAAAAAGGAGGATGTTAGTACTTTTTGGTCCTCTCTTCCCCTGAATATGTGTATAAAATGTGTATTCCCTCAGTTTTTGTTCCTTCTTTACCATTAATGTTATAAAATGACAATGAGCAATGTGAATAATGTTTTTCCATTGAATATGAATTAGGATTAGGTAGTCTTGCTCAATGACTTAAAAAAAATCACATCCACGAGGACACAATGTGCAGGTGAAGTTTTGGTGTCCACCCCCAAAGAACAAGGTTCTTCTTGATTCCAAGCCTGAATGAATCTGTATTTCACATAGACTCCATTAGTGGGTTAAGGTAACAAATGAACAGTTTTTATGGTATGGCTAATCTGTAGGTTGCAGTTTCTGTCGCTATATCAATGGATACTGTAGTGACATTTGCACAGTATTCTTAGCACGATAAAACCAGGCAATGTAATTAGAATAACCGTAAACAAAACCGTATATTTTTAACAAGTGTCAAAAAGGAAAACTTTGTCCATGTGCTTGATGACCTACCGTATAAAAAGCGAAACTTTCTGCTTACAGCTGGCAACGTCCTATTAAGCCCCAGCACTCTGTCCAAATGAAAAGCAAAAACCTCTGTGGTATCCACCGGGCTGTGGATGACTCCACATTGCCCTCCGCATAGAGTGCTCGTTTTTGCGTGCTGTTGGTTCGCCTGTTGAACGTTTGCCTCACCCTCAAATATCAGAAGCGAAAGAGCGTCTCCATGAGAGACTTCTTTCATGCGCAAAACTTTGGCATCCGCAAGAAAGCGCATGGTTTTCACATCCTGTGCGCTGAACCATGGTGGCGGCCTTTGACTGTATATTCGAATTGAACTAATCTGAGAGTCTGCTTCTTCATGTTTATAAATGTTATGGCTTATATCCAGTGATTTATAGTCAACATCCATGGCTTCCTTCCTTGAAGGTATGGGTGCAAAGTTGCGCTTAATTTGTACCGCATCCCCCTCCAAAG